CAATAATATTTTCATACATCTTAAAAAATCAAAATGAATGCAAATGATCCAGGATGAACAAAATACCAGAATATTAATGAAAGACAATATCCAATCCTGCATTTGCAGAATCCTGCCTCACTAGTCTAACCCTAATCCTGGCTACAGTGAACCCCGATATTACGGAAGAGACAGTTATGTATAAGGGTTTCTCTGCCTGAAGTCAGTATGTGTTCAGGGTACAAGGTGTTACCTGAAGAGATCTGCATATTAACTGTCTAAGCTCCTACTAGAAATGAATCATGATAATTCCTTTGTGTTGTATATTGAAAGGATATCTTTATGTTTCTGAGAGTAGTAATAGTCGCTAAATTTTATTTATTTTTTTAAAGATTTTTTTATTTGAGAGAGAGTGCATGCGTGCAAACATGAGTCGGGGGAAGGGCAGACGGGGAGGGAGAAGGATGAGCAGACTCCATGCTGAGAGCCACTCAGAGCTCCATCTCACGATACTGAGATCATGACCTGAGCCTAAACTAAGAATCGGACACTTAGCTGATTGCGCCACCAAGGCGCCCCATTGCTAAATTTTATTGAGTGCTTAGTATGTGAGAGTAACTCTGCTGGGCACTTTACATAATTATCTCTTTTAATGCTCACAGTAATCCTATGAAGTAGGTACTGGTATTAACCCCAAGAGGAGACTGAGGGTCAGACAGTTAAGTAGCTTGTTTGAAGGTTATCCAGCTAATAAGTAGCCAACCCAAGCTAAAGCTGTAACTTGTCCACACGAAGTTTGAAAAATCATGCATTATTCGTCTGAATCCTTTTCATCCAATATTAAATCTAGGTCAGTATAGTTAAAAATGTGCTTTATGCACCCAGGATGGTTGTATGGGTTTGGGTGATGATCTACCACAAAATACTTTGCAATGGAATTGCTGAGAGTTAGTCCGTGGCCTATAAGACTCATGCATACAATTCCAGAGGTATTCCATCAGGAGCCATTTTCTCCACCACCCCATGCCTTTCTGTGGTCACTTGCTCAGCTTTCTCCCTTGTTTTGTGGCATTTCTTAGTGAGAGAGAGAGAGAGAGGGATGACGGTGATCGTGATGAAGATGTGAGTGGTGATGGTGGTTAACGGTGGTGGTGGTGGTGACAGCTCACATTTCTCGAGGCCTCATTATGTGCCAGGTACGGGGCTGAGAGCCTTCCTAGCATACCTTCCTTGCGTCATCAAAAAGCCTACCAAAAAAGGCTGATTAATCCCCATTTTCTGTTCAGGAAACTGCGTCTTTGAGAATGTAAATAACTTGCCAGAAGCTCACAAAGCCAGGAAGAAGACAGGTGGGGCCTCTGCTCTTAAGGACTCCATTGTAGAAAGGAAGAAAGAAAGATAAAAATGACAGAGCAGCGTTCTAGCTCCTCCTCAATAAGACTTTCAGATCTGGTTGCAACTACTGGAGAAGTCCCCAACTTCCCAAGGGACTTCCTTTGGATGGGCATCCTTTTGGGTTCCAGCACCAAAACCCTCACCGAATCATCCCCAGAGAATACTTTAGAGGGGCCCCGGGTACTGGGGATTTTATTTCTCTAGTGCTTTTTTTTTAGGATTAAAGTAACTTTAGGAAGTTTCCAATATACCTGAACAAAGGGGAGGCTAGCGAAGGGGTCATGATTATACTTAAATACTTAGTCCATGTCGTCAGCTCACAATTTTTATCCTAGGGTTCAGAGTGCATTTTATCGAAATCTTAGTGTCCAGGTGTTAGGATATTTCTGGAAAAGGCAAGACAAAACAAAATGGGGAGACCTTAAAATGTTTTATCTCCTGTTTTGAAGAATACTAACAAATCTGCTTTGTTAGCATCAATCTCAAATAAAGCAAACCTGAATAAGCAGCACCACAGGAGAACAAGCAGGAACAACCCAGATACCCAGTAATGTGCTGATAAATGTTTAACAACTGGCTTTCTGGGAGGGAGAATGCCCAGGTTTGTGGCGTTTGCCAATTTCCACAGTGTAAAAACTCCCACTAAGGCCTATTTCTAGCTGTCAATGCGACACCCTGAGCGTGCGGTTGGAAAGAGGTACACACACTCAGCTCTCTGGACCAGCACGCTCTTGTGCCCCGCCTAGTGAGGACTAATTCCATGATCAGCTATTTCAGGGCAGTGCCCCATCCTGAAGAACCTCCACGTGGGGACTCACCAGCTACGTGACCTTGGGCAAGTCACTTCACCTCTCTGGGCCTTTGTTCCCTCCTCTACAAAGGATAACAGGGAAGGTCTTTTTCACCTCTGACATTTTAAAGTTCTAGAAGGCAGTGACTCTTGCTTCCTCTGACATCCAAATGCCTTTAAGCGCCTTTCTGGAAAACCAAGTTAGCGCTGTGCCGCATCCAAGTTAGTGCTGTGTGCCTCCAATTTCATCTACTGAGCATAAGGTTTGGAAAGGAGTGACTTACTCCCTTTTGCCTCTTGAAATGCGTAGCCAATGGGGCATCATACATTTTTTACACTTCTCTTGCTAGATGTGAGATCCAGGAGGAAAGGCATGGATGTTCCAGGGCTTTCTTGTTCTCCTGGGGTGGGAATCGGCAAGCGTGATACACTGATCCGTTGCTATACGCATCGCCTACCTCCCTACCCTTTCCACAGCAGAGAGAGAGGATTCAGAGTATCCTACCTTTTTATTTGTGTTTTTATTTTTTACTCTCCAAAAGCCATTTTACACGAATAGGAAGTACTTATACAAAGTGGTGGGGGGGTCGTTATTCCCCCCCCCCCGAAAGGTGGCACGTCTCTCAGCAAAGAGAAAAAGGCATGTTGCGCAAGGCTTGCTGGCACTGATACCAGCCAGCGCCGGTTTGCCCGTTGCCACAGCCAAAGCAAAATGCCACCTCTGCCTAGAAGCCAGAGTGCCACATTCCTCTTCTCTGTCCCCGAGATGCACCCGTCATGTGGCCCTGGGTTTGCAGGTTTGGCCAGGAAGTCCCCACATTCTTTGCAGGTCACCTGCCAACCCCAGGAGGTGGGGTAGATGGGGGGACCGATGCTTGTGACTCTCGAAATATATTACTGCATGTCAGATAAAGCCCAGCAAACAGAATTTGAGGGCTGGGGTGAACACAAGAGAGCCCCCAGTTGCCGTGAGTAAGGGAGGGCTGCAGGAACGCCAGTGACCCAGTGGTATTTCTGTCCCCAGACCCCATCTTCACAAGCCCAGATGCAGTGACAGCAAAAGCTCCAGAATCCCAAGGCAGGAGGTGCCAAAAACACTCCCCAATAATCACTCCCCCACCCCCCAAAAAAGTTTCAGGAAAATGTTCTCACTCCTAGAGGGGAAAACCTGTCCATGCCTGAAGCAGCTCGACCCGGGCAAACCCCCTCCTACATGGAGTGAACCGTGAATCTCAGGGGAAAAAATCCCCACCCCCCACCCCGCCTGCTCCCTGGGGAGGGACAGAAGGTTCCTCAAACTGACAGTTTCGCCTCCATGATCTTTAAAAGAGCAGAAGTTGGCTGTGAGGCTGCAATGCCGCCTTGATTGGGGTAGTGTGGTCTCTGTTTGCGGCTGGGCTCCAAGGAGAGCCACAATTGGCTCTGATGAGGAAGGAGCCTAGAAATGAAAGATTGCAAAGAGGGCTTCTGAACGCCATGGCTGAGACTGTGTCGTTTCTTACAAGGTGAAACTTGGCAGTTCTACCTTGCAAGTAAAAAACCCAAATTAATTTTTTTTTTTTTAAAGAAATTAAGTCAGAAACAAGGCTTCAGAAAAACTGTGAGTGTTAGGCATAAACTGATTTTGGATGATCTTTAGGTGAGAAAGGGTGGAGTTACCATCAGAAACATGTTTTTATTTATGCTTTTCAAATCCCCACTGGTGTGCAATGTGTGTGCGTGTGCGTGTGCGCGCACACGTGTGCGTGTGTGTTGATTAGCATGAGAGGGTGCATCGTCTCCATTCTCTAACCACTCTTTTTTTCTTACATCTCTTCTGTGCACAGTTCATATAGATGCCCCATAAATAAATATATAGGTCCATCCACACCTTTTCATTTTATTTGTAAATTGTTTGGTGTAAGCGGCAATGCGTAATGAAACCTGGTGAAGTTTAAAAGATTAGATTTTTTTTTCATACTGACACTTCCTAACACTGTTCATATGTCTCCGAGTGAGATTTATGAATATATGAGCAGTACTGCAAAATCATACCGCACCAGAGACTTCCTGCACCACAGGGGTGGCAGTCTAAAGTGACACAGCTTCAAGCATTTTTCACAGACAAGAAGCAAAATTTAACCCCCTTAAGGGGAAGTATGATTTCAACAGCTTGAAATGAGCTCCTTTGTAGATGGTTTTTTTCTCTCATCTTCCATAATTTTTTGGTGTTAAGATTAAAACAGATTGCACAGCCAACGTAAGGGCACAGAAGCTGCCCAGAGTATGAGTTGGCCCTTAAAGAGAAAACCTCCTTCCTTGTCTCTATCCCAGTGCCCCAGTAGGGTAAATGAAGGTACACATCACCATCAATTCATAAGGCTCTCAGCCCAAATCCCAGCATTGTCCTCCGCAGACAGGGTCTGGATTTTTCAAGAGGTAAGTAGCAAAATGACATCAGTTTGATCCGTGGAGAAACCCCCATCTCCCTGGGCATCTGAAACAGTGGCATTAAGAAATATACAGTGACTTGAATCTCAGCGGAGTAAAATTAACCAACAAAAAGGAGAATCAGAAGAGCAAAAATGGTCTATGTGAATTGATCGTGTAGGAGATGTCGATCGTGGAAGAGTTCTGTCTTAGATTCAAAGTCCAAACCCATCTCTTCTTAGGCTGATCGGGTACCTTGTGATTTTGTGTCGATTAATGTTCACAATTTGTCTCTGCTCTCAAATTCTCTTTTAACCATTTAGTCTCTCCTCGGAACAGAGCAGGTGCTCAAACGTGGCCTGTTGCCTCTCTCCTCTGCAAACGCTCCGTGATGTGTTGGCTGGAGAACTTTTGTCTCTTTTTTCAGCAATGGTACAACAGCTCCATGAACGTGATCTGCACCTGGTTGACGGACCGGATGGACTTACAGCTTCACATTTATCAGTTGAAAACACTAATTAGGATGGTAAAGGTAAAAGAAAAGAATAATTATTCTTCTTTGCACATAGCTCACTGAAATACATTTCACTGTCCGGCTGCAGAACTTCCTTAACACAAAGAATATTGGTTTACATATAAAACAAGATGATTTCTAAAGCAGCATCTCGTGCAAGAAAAACCTATGCAATCACTTCGGGATGCGTGGTTAATTCATTACTCAGACATCAAAGGAAAAAGTAACGAAAAGGAATTTGATATTTTATCCAGGCCGGAAAAATACTTTATGTATCTGTCATGCAAAAATACTGCAGGGGCCTTCGTGCCCTGTGCATTAGACTTTCAAAAGCTGGTTTGGGTACCATTATGCTAATCACATAATTACCAATTTCATTTATGGTTTAATTAAATAAAATTTTGCCACAATTAATGTAATAGAAATATTTACCTCCAGCTATTTCTAAATATGTCCTGTGATCATTATCAGGATGCAAATCAATATTGTTCTCATAGTTAATTGAAGTAGTTTCTCTTACAATGCGTGTATACAATCGAATGGAAAGGATCACAAAGGTGAGATAACATACCCTGAAAGTAGCTTTTTTCCCTGTTCTTGTATGTGTGCCTTGGACTAATGATAATTATTTCAGCGTGAAATCTCAGTGGTTTACATGAAATAATAAGATCACAGAAGGGGGTAAATACATTTTTGATCATTTCAGTTTCCATCTGATGCTTCACCATAGAGGGTTTTAAAACATTCGTGATGCAGAAATTTCATTCAAAGCAGAAAATGTCTTTAAAAATATTTTAACAATAAAACGTAGCTGAATTTCTATTTCTTAACCATTTGCCAGAAGTCCCCCCTCTCCGCCCCCTCTCTACTCCCTACCCCCTCCATCCCCCGCCACCCCCTCCACCCCTACCCCATTTCTTAGTCTCTTTAGGATTAGCACCATTTCATTGAAGGTACTCCTCTACCCCAGTGCTGACTTAAAACCAATTACTGTTCTGTTGAGTGTAATTAAAGAGAATTATTATCATCTGCATTTGATCTCACAACGCGTCTGCCCAGGGAAGGTTACAGACAGCCGTGTATTACAGCTCTTAAAAAAGAAATGTATGCACTAGGGCCTTAGACCCAGCCTAATTTCATATTTTTGAAATTTCAGTTCCTTAAGGCAAGCTCACTAGCCATTGCCTGACCACTTCAATTCCATTTCCTGGGTATAAATACTCTTCTTTGGGGGAATTTGTTTGTTTGTTTGACACTGGGTGGACATTAAAAGGAGACATTAATTTTTAAGATTTTAAAATATGTATCTTCCCATTACTGCTGTCTCTAGATCTATGTTGGGAATATTGGAACTAGCAATAAATATTTCATTAAGGAAAAAATGTAAGTCTGAGAGAAGGTTTATTCTTAGCCTTCTGCCAAAAAAACACAGACATGAACCACAGAGAAGGGACAGAAATGTCACTGGCAAAAGAACTCCCTTCACTTTTGCCAGAGATGGGCTCAGCCTAACCAGTGTCACAACACGCAGGTATGAAGCAGAATGCACCACCTCTTCACCAAGCACATTAACCAGAGGTCTCCTACCCCGAGGCAAACTTCCAAAGACAGTTGGCTTTCTTTCCTGCCTCCACATCCATTCCCTTCATTCCTCCATTCCTCCATTCATTCATTCATTCTTCAGCAAGCATTTATTCACTCATCCAACACTGGATAAATATTAGTTGAGCCCCTTCCCATATATTACAAGATGGAGAATTTTAAAGTGACTAGATAAGGTCCCTGTCTGAGGCATTTATAGTTGAGTTGGGGAATGCTGCTCTGGAATTTGAATAAAGGGGAGAATACTCAAGTGCTTTCTACCTTTCTTTTTCCCATCATACTCTGGCACCAATTATATTATCTTAAGTGGAAACAGAACAACTGATTGAAAAGCACAAAAAAATCAAGTTAATCTTCTGGATATCTGGTCTACACCATGCCTAGAATTTACTCAGCCTCCTACCCTTTCCCGTCAAGGTGAAGACAAGTCAGGTAGCTATCTAGCTACCTAGGAGAACCTTGCAGTTTGATCCATAATTAGGAGGACCTATTAACTTATGCCAAAATCAGATTACTTTTACAAAGGAAAGAAGGTGCCGTGATTAATCATGCTGGGACAACAGGTATAAAGGGGACACGTGGTCATCATATCCATAATCTGATATTATTGGACTTCACTGGGCCGACTGCATTCACTAGTTAATTCTGCAGTCATTACAACATGTGACCTTCAAGAGGGGTTGACACTGTGATTGTTGATACTTTAATTGCTTTAGATGGACGACAAGAAATGGAAGCCCCAATGGGAATGCACTGAAGTATGTTAACATTCTTTCTCATGCCCCTTTAGCAAGTGTCCCACATCAATAGAAGAAACACACAGCAGAATCAGTAGCTGAAATGATATGCAGTGTGATGAGAAAAGTTGTTAGAGAGAGACCTTTTTCCAAAAAAATGTTAAGAAGCAGACAACAGCCAGATGCTTCTGGTCATGTTCAATTAACGTTAAGGGATTTCTAGGAAAAAAAAAAAAGGAAAACAAAACAGTACCTGGGATACCTCAGGAAATCCGAGAGAAATCGCCTGAAGGAACAAAGAATTTGTGGTACAGTAATACCAAGCCATTGTTCTTGAAAAAGAGCCAAATTTCTTCCCCGAGACCATGAAGTTGTGAATGGAATAGATACTCTTCTTTCCCAGGGAGATAAGAAATGAATCACATGTCTGCGACATATTGATGAGGCATTAGCACTCCATCTTCCCCATAATTGTTGCTGCCCATACTAGGTTTCATATACCAACATACATATGTCTGTCTTGTGAATGAGACAGAGAGATACGCAATTATGAGCCTCAAAAATATTAAAGACCAGACTGCAAAGGAAATGGCAAAATACCATAATCAGTTGATCCACTATTTATGTGTTACGGCCCCTTACACAGTCTATCATATTGTATTATACTAACGTAAGAGAAAGAACCTGACCAAAAAAAAAAAAAACAGAGAGAGAGAGAGAATCAAAACAATCATGGAACATTTCTCTTTATGGAACTGAATAAACACAAGCTTATGTTCTTTGCTTTGTCTCAGCTAATACAGTTTATCCTGCCACAATTTCTCATTTTCTGTTATTCGGCAAATCTCAGTTTTCAGTACCAGTGAAACCTGAGCACGGTGGCTTTTCATTTGACAATGCATAGAGTGAGTCACTTAGCCGAAGGTCAGTGTTCTCACACCCACAAGTGCCTTGTGTCCTTTCCCTCCCTTCATGGAGATGAGATCTCTCTTATCACTGATCTTTTCCCTCCTTAGAAAACCTATAGAGATTTCCGATTGCAAGGGGTCCTGGACTCAACCTTAAACAGCAAGACGTACGAAACCATCCGGAACCGGCTCACTGTGGAAGAAGCCACGGCATCAGTGAGCGAGGGTGGGGGCCTGCAGGGGATCAGCATGAAGGACAGCGATGAGGAAGACGAGGAAGACGACTAGAACACTAGGGCCTGGAGTCCTCTAGGACAAAGTCCTGTAACCAATGCATGTCCTTAGTCTGTTAGTTAACCCCACTAGGGAATTTTCTGTCAACTACCATGCTCATGAAATGTTTACCAATACAATTGCCATTTTAGCTATGTGGTTCCAAGATTAGCAAATGACCTTCGACCCCACTGATTTCCTGATTCCATGTCTGTATGTTTACAAGCAATATGGAGCACCATTCTTTAAATACCGTTCATGGAAAATACATAGTCCAACTGCTAGGTGTGTTCCTGTTCTCAGCAGAGTTAAATGATGCTTCATTAATGTCCTGTGTCTGCATTGACAGTAAATGGATGTGAGGGCGAGTATACCAAGTATTTCACTTCTTTGTTTCACATTACGTGGATGCCAGTTATTTAAATGAGTACAATGAATTAATTTAATTAAGATACATAGATCTGCTTTGTTTTTTTGGAAAACAAAAGGCAAGGCTCCGGCAAACAACTTTTGGTTCTTTGTGGTCCCCTGAAATGAAAAATGAACCCCCGGTTTCCTTGTTAACTCATCCTTCCATCGATCCGCATAGTTAGCCAGAAAAGGATGGCTACATACCAATGGATTGATCCTCTCATTTGCCACAGCAAGGGTGATCCTATCATGAGTTAACACCAAGCACAGTTCAGAGCAACTGTCTTCTGTCAAAGTTTATCCTATTAAACGTTACATTTTGCTTTTATGTTTCAATAACCGTGTATGTAAAACACCTGAATATTTAAATTACCACCCTAGACTCTAAATGTGTTTATAATAAGATATGGGTATTTCCTTCAGTAGATTGTAACCATAATTTATTTTGTTCCACAGTTTTTTATATCTGTTATGTACATTGCATTTTGATCTGTAACTGCATGACCCCTCGGGTCCTCTGCAGAGCTATTTCTTTCTGTGTAAAGTAGTGGATCCATCTTGCTTTTGCCTTATATAAAGCCTACAGTTATGAAAGTGTGGAAAACTGTGGCTTCTCAATAAATAACTATTCAAATGTCCTAAGAATACACTTCTGAGTCTTTTTTCCTCTGTCTCTTTTGAAAGCCAGAACTGAAACACACACAAAGTGGCAGAGGAGGGTAAGAGCAGGGAAGAGGTCATGTCCTTGAAACTGTTGGAGAGGTGGTTTTCAAATACTCGTCTTCACAAGAAACAGCAAAAAGTCCTACTAATTCAGACTCCGCTAAATCAGAACTGTGGGCATTTGGACATGTTGGGCAGATTATGCTTGCATTATAGGATAAATAAGGGTCTGCTAAGCAAGAGAGTAGTGTAAACGAGAGGAATGTTTCTCCTGTACGAAAAGAAGGCCAACAAACTGTTTTTAAGCACTACTTTAACAGCAGTGTTTGCATTCAAACAAAGCGTGTGCCAATTATATATGATTCTTATATATTTGTTAAAGCATCTTACAAGATTCTCTAAGATATGGAGCACTCTTCTTGCTCCCCACTTCTTGTCGGCAAAATAATCACCCAGGTGTGAAACAAATCAAACATTTTGCAGCCTTATCTGTTTTATTTGCGTCTGTCTCCAAACCAAACTGACCTTCCCTTGGCGCTGACTGAGGTTTTAGGGAAGAGACGAATTCATCAGTAGGACCAGGTAGACCAGTTGTTCTCTACCAATCAACCCCTCAGAATAGTACATCCTACTCTCTTTAATCCTTGAGGTCTGCAGGTACAAATCAACAGTACTTCCTGCCCTTAGTGGGATTACAAGGATAACTCCCATTTACTGAGCAACTATTCTGTACCAAGCGGTCTGTATGTAATACTTTGTTCAAATCTCACAACCACCACAAGGGAAGAGGACTGTTATTATCCACATTATAAACAGACAAATTGAGGTCAGGAAGGTTAAGGTTACTTGCTCTGTGGTTACACAGCTCCATACGGAAACATTAATCCAGAAACACTAGCATAGAATTGGTAATACATAAATGGTGGGGGTATATCATTCAGGTGTGAAAAATCTTTGCCCAATGGCATCAAGATAAGTCAATGTGGCAGAGCCAGAATTTTTTAAAAATATAGCTGTATTACATTTTTAGTTGCAAAGCTAAAACGTAGTTTTTTCCATAATTGTGAATAATTCAAAAATGTGCAAAGTAAAGACAGAGTGTCTGCCCAGTGTATCATATAGTTGGAAAGAGAAAGAAAATGCCCAGGAGCCCTGGAGGAGAGCTAAGTGAGTGACTTAGAGAAATAACCAAAGGGCGTGATCCAAAAGACGTGAAGAGGATCAAGTCTGAAAAGACTGTGCCATCAAAACCAGGGTTCAAACAAACAAACAAAAATCCTCCAAAAGGAGAAGTCAGCACAGCCCAGCACTGAGGGTCCTGGTGAACAGCATCCCCCAGCCTGCATCCCTGGAGGAAGGGCTGGGCAGAAGACAATGACAGCAGACGAGATCAGAGAGAAAGAACTCACCCCCAAGTTAAGTCCAAAGTTACCCTTGCGACAAACTTAAAGCTGAGAAGGAGACCACTTTGGTATCTTGAGCTCTTTTCTCACTTTTTTGGGACAGAATATTAAGTTTTCTCTTTTTTGTTGTTGTTGTTGTTGTTAAAATGCAATATACATACAGAAGAGTGCACAAATCCTAAGCACGCAGGTCAATGATTGGAGCTGAATAGAGTGAACATATTCTTGGGACAACTGTCAAGTCAAGAAAGAGAACATAATGAACACCTGCAGATACACCCATGCTCCTGGCCCTTCCCAGTCTCTACCCCCTCCCTCACTCTACAAAGGTAACCACAATCCTGAATTAAAACCCTTATGTAATCAGAATCACAGTATATATTCTTCCAAGTCTGGTTTCTTTTTGCTCTACATTATATTGTTGGTGTAGCTGTAGTTCATTTCTTTCCAATGCTCTATAGGATGAATATGCCACGATTTATCCATGTTCACACATTGTATTGAGTTTGGGGCTATTATGAGTAATGCTGCCATGAATTTCTTTGTGCATATCTTTCAGTGCAATTTCTGTGTCATAGGGTAAAGTTATGTTCATTGTTTAGGAAATACTGCCAGTTTTCTCCAGAGGGTGAACTACATACTACTCTCACCAGCAGAGCATCAAGAGTCCCTTAATGTACCAGTTATTGTCACTCTTTTAAATTTCCATCATTCTGGTATGTGGTGTCATGGGTTATAACTATAGTAAACTGATTACAAAAATAGAGTTGATTGCCTCTACACATGTGTACTGGCAGTTTGGTTAGCCTCTCTTGTGAAGTGCTGGTTTAAGTCTTTTTTTCCTTTTTTTAAAAGAGGAAAATTCCAGAGTTCTTTGAAGGACTGGTAGGGAAGAGGCCATAGGAAAAAGTGCCAGATGGATGGTGAGACATGGAAATGTAGAGAGAAATGTGAACCTGATGGAAAAGCACTCACTGTATTATCAGTCAGCCCACAAATCGTTGAGTACATACTGGCCAGGCACTGCTAGAAACACCCAGGCTCTCTCTAGTGCATCCCCCTTCATCAGCCATGGGGACTTTTCTAAAAGGCAAGTGCAATTTTGTCTGTCCTCCAGTTAAAAGCATCCAGTGGCTCCCCTTGGTCATAGAATGAAGCCCAGATTCACTAAGGTGGCATGCATGGCCACACACCATCTGACCCTCGCCTGCCCCTTCAGCCTCCTCTATTAATTCTGCCCCTCTGGCTCCCCGCGTGTCAGCTACCCCTGCCAACATTCACTTCCTCCTGTGCACCATGGTTCTGCCCTCTTGGGGGCCTCCCTCCAACACCTCATCTCACCCTTCAAATCCCAGCTAAATTTGGCTTCCCCAGAGAAGCCTCCCAAACCCCACCCTCGGTTCAGCATCCATGTCCCTGGTACATATTCTCCTAACACTCTCTACTTCCCCTTCGTAGTATTCATCACACTCCTCATGAAGGGGTTCTTTGCATCATTACCTGTTTCATGCAGCTTCTCTCCACTTCACAAGGCTGTGGTCTGTGCCAGCTTCCCTACTCTAACCTTACTGTATTCACTAAATATATGATTAATAAAAAAAAGACTGAACATACAAAAATGTAGATGATCTGGTGACTATTCTCCTAGAGCCTTTAGGTGATATGAATCTTCAAAAGCTTCATATAGACCATATACAGATGCAGAGGAGGGAGAAGAAAGGAAGACTTCCTGGAGGAGGTGGGCCTTGAAGAGCACATAGGGAGGACAGGAAAGGACACGGACCAAAGCAGCGGGAGGTGAGGGGAATGTGCCTCTTGGCCAAAGCTCTTTTCTTCTCTGATAAATTCCCAGCGCACATATTCGTTGTGAATTCGTTGTGAACACACAACGAATACATGTTGATGTAAGATATTAATGAATATGCTCAGAGTGTTAGGGGAGCCTGGCTTCCTGGGGGGGTTTGGAGAGATTAAGATGGAAAGAGTGGATTAAGGTTTCAAAAAAGGACATGCAGTTTAGTTTAGCTTGGGTTTGTTGGGCTAAATAACAGAGAACTAAGCAGTATTTTTATTTTTTTCAAAATATTTAAAGAAGTTTTTTAAGTTAAAAAAAATCAAATAAAGTAGAATTCTATGAAACAAAAAGTTGAAGCCTCTTCCTTCCCCAACCCATTTCCCCAAAGTAGCCATTGCTAACAGATGGGCATATATTCTTCCAAATATGTTCAAATCATATCCAATATCCAATTGGATATATTTATATATTTTATATATTTATATATTTTTAAAATATATTTTCACAAGTGGGATTCATCCTGAGCATACTAAGGCAAATCACATTTTTCATTTATCAGTGTAGGATAATTTTTATCTCTGCACGTAGAGATTTTCTGTATTACTTTTAATGGTTGTGCTGTCTTTAAGGAGGTGGTCTGGTCAAAGGAGAATCAAGAGCAAACTTGGGCAAAATGAAAATCCAGGGTAAAATGAGGATGGACAAAACATAATGGAGGAAATGAGCCATCTGTGGAAGTGACCCAAGAGACTG